GTTAAAGACGGGGTCACGTCAGGTAAATAGACACCAAACATGTCAAGCTTTAAAATTGCGCGTGCGCGCCCGCGACATGGCAGAAAACTTCCACACCCAAAATTGGCCATAGACGACGCTCTAACCGCTTTTACCGCTCATCAGTTTTGTGCTATCAGTGATTGATGGTCCCAGAATGATTGATTGCTCTCACTGGGACGTTTGCAGTATTATTTAACATGTGCGGCACAATAGGCAGAATCGTCATTTTCGCGCGTTGACGCATGTTTGTATGTGGGGGGGGGGTGGTAGGGGACTTATTTTTTTTATGCTTTGATTTACTTTTTACAATTTTTTTTTTTTGTTTTTACACTTTTTACTTTATTGCTATTACATGGGGGGCCAAGAAAACCCCTATGTGATAGCCAATTTACATGACAGGTTCTCTTTATGGAGACATCAGGGGTCTCTAAGACCCCTAATGTCACTTGGGGACCCCCAGAGAAGCTTATGAAGCCGAGATCTGCTTCACCAGCTTCTCACCGGTGTTCTGTAATATACATCACTGCCTGCATTCGAGGACAGGAGAAGAGATCAAAGGGCGATTGTGCACTGATCTCCCTTTGATCTTCACTGAGAGCCTCACCGTGCCGGTCCCAGCCACACCGGGCATATCGGATCTCGGGACCGGCTGGCAGAGGGACAGGGGGGGGGAGAATGTAAACAGCCATCGCTGGCTGTTTACATTGCAGACAGTTCCCCACTCGTGTGCACGCTGGGTGCCGCCCTCCCGCTCCTACGAGACTCCCGATTGGCCGTTCAGGAACGGCCATGGACGGGAGGTGGTTAATGACCAAAAGGATGTTCAAAGTAGCAAAAGACACATTCCTAGTAAGGATCATCTCGCACCACCTTATTGAATGTGAACTTGAAAACCTCAGAAATTAGGTGCAAACTGTGATATATATTTTATACTAGATAATATTTTTTTATTGTAGCGTTGTCTACCTGGCCTCTGGGATGTGTCCAGCTCCGGTATAAGGTGGTCAGTGGGGGGGCTTTTGACTCTAATTCCTGTGCTGGGCAAATTCCTATTTTGTAAAAATATCATGGCGATGGAGCCCGACTTGTTCTGAGCTTTTCCGTTTTATGACGGCACATGGGGCTTGCCGTTTAAAGTGAGTGTCGGGGCGAGACTAATAAAAATCAAACAAAGATTCAAGTGCAACAACATGCCTGCTGATGTGCCAAACAAAAGTTCACTGGGCTCCAAGTCCTGTTGTGGGCTGACAACATACAATTGTTGTAGACCGAGTGGTGTCAGCCCTGCCTAGTTTTCATTTGAGCTGTCTGCATTGGGCAGAGTCGTAGTGATAACATCGGTTATGTAATGAACACGCGCTTTATTTAGTAATGTCACTAGCATGTTGATGGGGTGGGTGGGTGTGGTGCTTGGTGGAGAACCAAGGAAGGCAAATAATAAGCCGATCTCAGGTCAGCCACAGCTTTAAGGTCAGTTTGGGGCAAGTTTGTTTTGCTTATGTTTTGTATTTATTTCTATACAGGCATGGGTGCCGTTTGCCTGGCACTGATATAGGAAACCGCTTTACTCATTAGCGCCATCTAGGAGCGTTAGTGCTGTGCGAACTGAATACGCCGGGCACAAATGATCCCCCTCAGTAACCACATCTCAAACCACTGTGTAGGTTAGCCCTCATTCACACTGGAATCAGGCCGCATGTACTGCTGCGTGCATGGCCGTATCGGGCAGCTCCCGGGAAGGACAGGTGCTGCATGTGATTAGTACACAGCCCCCGTCCTTCTCTATGGGACTACGTGGCCCTACTCTCACCCACCCTGCATGTCGGTGCGGATGAGTGTACTCTTATACCGACGTGATGAATCCTGTTGGCGTCCAAGCCGGGACACCCGCACCCGTACGGACCTGCACTTGAGGTGAGCGTAGGGCGGCATATGGCTGCGTAGTCCCATAGAGAAGGACGGGGGCTGCATACTAATCGCACGCATCACCTGTCCTTCTCGGGAGCTGCCCGATATGGCTGTACATGCTGGCCTGATTCCCGTGTGAATGAGGTCTAAAAGTGGCCCCTACAATCTGCCGCTAGATGGTGCCGAGGAGCATAGAAACATCCTATTCCTTTATAAATCAGCCCCCAGGTCCACCTCTGACCAATGAATGGCCATGATTATCTCACCGAACTTTACTGATCAGATGGCACAAGAGATTTTGCAATTCATCCCATCTGTATTCTGTTTGACTTTTATAAGCGGTCGGTCCCTGAATAATTAACTAGACATTCCGATGGTCTGTAATGTGTGAGTCAGGACGGATGACATAATGAGATGGTAATAGAAGTACATCTGTCATGCAAAGTCCCATTGTTTGTATACTGTTTGCAAACCGTCTTTGTAGTTTGTTTTGGCTAATTTGTGGTTGTTCATGTGTACAGAACGTCCTGTGATTGCTTTACCTGCAGTAACGTGTGTCTGTCACTAGGTGGCAGCAGAACATCTACTAGAGGTTTGTACTATTCTGTTAAATCACACTCCGGTATTACTGATCTAAAAAATGGGGTGTAATGTATTGTGTAGCAGAAATTGCATGCTACCGATCTTTTCCTACAAACCCCTGACCCTCGAAGCCCCCCTAACCCACCACCATCACCAATCTGGCACTCTCCTGTCCCCAGTCCATGAAGATATTTCAGACGAGGCTGCACAGCCGCTTGTCCATATCTTCCTAGCTGTGCTCTCTCCATTCATTCCTATACAGAGTTCATATTCCGCTTACAGTAACTGACCCCATTGATTAAAGGAGTTGTAAAGCCCCAGCATATCCTCTCCTGTTATGACATCAGCATTGTAATAGGCATACATAGTAGAGTTGTCTCTGATAATACAATCAAAAGCTTATAGAAAAATTCCTTTTATGTAGGGAGCAGCGCTGCCTTCCATCTCCCCATCATCTTCCTGGATTCCCAGTGTGCTTTATGTCTCTTTCCCTGCTGCTTGAGGTGACGCAATCTCCATTTCTGAATGGGACTTGTAGTTCCACAACAGCTGGAGGGCCGGAGTTGCCCACCCCTGGTCTAGATGGATCTGATTATTAGGAGTGCGATAGAGCGTATGGCAATTCAATACAGATATACAGATTTGTGGCCGGAACGCACTGGATCGCATTGTGGTCAGCTCACTTTGTTGTGGAGCAGGACGGGGCATGGCAGTCCATTGAATTGAATGGCACCATAGCCACGCCCTACGGCGGCAATGCGATCGGCCGCACGGGAAAAAACGGCCGATCGCATTGCAGCTGCAGAGCGTGGCTACGGTGCCGTTCACTTCAGTGGATAGGTGCTGGCGACCTGAATCAAGAAGAGGCAGCCAGCTCACAATGACTTAGGATTACAAAGATGGCGGCAAAGGTGCTGGGCTGTGTTGTCTAAATAGTGGATTAGAGCGGGACAGTGTTGGATTCACTGGGCCAGGTGAGAATATGACAGTAAATTCAGGAGTTCAATCTTAAAAATACATTCAAGAACCTTAACTATTAACAATGGGGGACATTTATCAAAACTGGAGCAGTTGTGCACGGCAACCAATCAGCACCTCTCTTCAGTTTGGTCAGTTAAGATGTGAAAATGAAAGGTGGATGTTGATTGGTTGCCATGCACAGCTGCTCCAGTTTTCCCCCCAATGTATCTTATTTATCACTCGGCTGTAGATCCTCCAATCATCTCTGAATTGGGGCCGACACTGTCCTTCCTTCTGGAGGGTGACTACTTTTGTTCCCTATGGTCCCTGTGTGTGTTGTAAAGTAGTCACCGCTCAAAACTCACTCCCGGGATGGACTACAATCCCAATACAAATGAGTAAATAAACATGAGATTGGAAGTTTTTCCTTTTCACCTGCTTTCATCTTTTATAGGACGTGTGTATTAGGAGTGTTGGCAGCTTTGGACCAATCGTGCCGTTTATATAACCTGTGAGCTCAGACGCGGGTTGTTCCTTCTTTACATGTAAATCGAAATCAATGGCATTCAAATGTGTGCAGGGAAATCCTCGTTCTGGCTGAACGTTCAACATTTGTTATGTAAACCTTTTACATTTATACAGGCAAAGTAGTCATCATTGTGTGGTGTACAGTAGAATTGTTTTACATACCAGTTTGCCTTACAGTCATTTATTTTATTGTACAATTTAAACACTTGAACTTTTTTCTGCGTTTGTTTTGGCGCACATTGCAATGCGTTTCATTTCATTGCTTAGCTATCGTCTAATGCCTTGGTTCTCAACTGGTGGGTGGTGAGCCAAAAGTGGGTTGCGGCCCCATGTCCAGTGGGTCACCACATGCCTTCCACTTTTCTAGGTGAGAGGATCCCAGAGAAGCACTGTCGGTTCTCGCAGCGAGCAGCCATTCAAAATGATGATGTCCGGTGCCGAGTGTCGACTTGAGGTGCGGTGGGCTGGGGCTATGGCCGCGAGGGAGCTCCATCCATATGTGCTTTGTTTACAGCTCATCACATTCTGGCTCCCAGCACCTCTACGGGTGCGCACAGGAGCTTCACAAGCAATACACATATGGATGGAACGCCATCACGGCACAGCAGCCCACACTGGACCCCAGGCTGAGGACCAACTCCATCCGTAATGGCAACCCAAACGCACCTCCCACCCACAGTTCGATCACCTGCACCGGAAAGCGTAGTACCGCAACATGGAACATTGCAGAGCAACTTGGGTCGTGACTTAATGACCTTGGATAAATGTGGGTCCCAAGGTTACACAGGTCGAGAACCGCTGGTCTAATGTATTTGAATGGGGATATTGGTATTGCTACATTAAAGGAGAACTATGAGGTGAGTGATTTCCACTCATCCTAGTTAGAGCTGACCTGCGACAATGAAACTGTCACAGGTCGGCTCTATAGATCGGGAAGTGAGCGAACACATACCGTCGCTCGCTCACTTCTCGATCATCGCCCTGCGGTGACTGTCAGTCACCTCTCCCCGCAGGGATTCTCCCTCCCCGCTTCGATCCTCGGGGGCGGGCACAGCTCTAGATAGGCAGAGCCCGCTGTCAGTCAGCCAGCTGGGTGGATCTTGACAGTATTGTTGGGATCTGTCCCAGCCTGAGCTGCTCCCAGCAGGAGGGAGGGAGCTGCAGAGCAGATGTGGCGGAAGTTGCAGGTTTGAGGGAACTCTTATCACTGCTGGGCACCTACCACATGGGACGGTGTCCCCTCCGATCCCCGTTGGAAGCAGCAGGGATCAGAGGGGTCTGAGCACAGATCAACTAATCAATAATGAGAATCATTGACAACAATTCTCTTTATTGATGATTATCGACAAAATTGATTAGTTGTTTCAGCCCTACATTACTGCGCACTGCTCGGTATAGTTGTGTGCAGAGATGTTGTTACCACTAATTACAAGAACCTTCCCGGAGTGATTCCAGGAGCTCATGTCGCTGTTTTTCTCTCCCTCAGCTAATCTCGTGCTGCACCAGACGGTGGAGCGCATACACGTCGGGAAGAAGTATGGTGATATCCCCCGGGGAATATTTGTTGTGAGAGGCGAGAATGTGGTTCTCCTCGGAGAGATTGTAAGTAGGCTAATGAAATCATTTCACAGCCTCATTTATATGGAAATTGTTTGTTTTCTAAGATGCGTATCTAACGCCGGCTTGGGCAGCACTCTGGCCCTTGTGTTTTCGAGGAGCTGTTCATCTCCGCTCATCCTGCCAGTGAAGGAGACGGCCTGCTCTTAATGTCTACAAGGGCACGCTGACTGGTGTGGCCGCTATATCTGCCGCACCCGTATAGAAGAGAATTACTAATACACTGAATTGATCAATCTGTCCTTTGTGTACCTCATGGCTTGGATGTCTTTTTGTGCCTGAAAAATCACATTTGGTTGCCAGGGTGGTCTTCAAGCTGAACTCCTGGCATACGTTTGAAACGACCAATGATTGCAGTTATCTATTAAAGAATCATGATTGATGATCTAATGGCAGGGTGGATGGGTAATAAAAATGTTCAATACAAACGCACACCCGCACTCCATTGAATTCTGCTCTTCCTTTGATTCTGGGTAAATCACACTGCAGGCCCACCTGAGACCACTCGGCGCTGATGCATTTCACCCTTTTGGGGCTTAATTGAAGAGAACAAATAAAATATACTGCAGGAGGACTGTGTTAAAGGACGCTGGATAAAGAAAACGTACCCTTGTCATGGGGCTACCCCTGCACTGCAAGGTTTACAGTGACACTAAACTCAGGAGTCTTATCTTAAAAATACATTTAAGTGCCTTTAACTGCTTACAGCACTGGACCTTATTTGTGTATCACTCGGCTGTAGATCCTCCAATCATCTCTGAATTGGTGCTGACTAGGGCTGCAACAACTAATCGACATAATCGGTTATTGAAAAAGTTGTCAACTTTTTCAATCGATTAATCGCCTTCCGATCAGTTGGGCCTGTTCACGGCTCCACACGCTGTGCGCCGCACCTCCTCCCCACCTCACGCTCGCCGCTGCCAGACCCGCTCGCATCCACACGCCGCACCTCCTCCCCGCCTCACATTTCCTGCCCATCCACATCCACGATCGGCACAGGGACGCAGGGAGATGTAGTAATGAGCAGGTGTGGGGGGATGACACCTGCTGATACAGGTCCGATCTCAGAAGCACGTTGCTGGAAGACTGCACTTTCCCACACATGGTGCTCTATAATGTATTGCTGGGATTTGTATTCCTCTATAGCTGATGGTACATTGTGCTGTATATTATACATAGGAATACAAATCCCAGCAATACATTATACACTGTATGTATAATGTATTGCTGGGATTTGTTGTACTCCTCTATAGCTGGTGATATTCTGCATTGCGCTGTATAGAGGACTACAAGTCCCAGCAATAATACATTATACAGCGCAATGCAGAATACCACCAGCTGTAGAAGAGTACAACAAATCCCAGCAATAATACATTATACAGTGGTGCAATGCTAAATACCACCAGCTATAGAGGACTACAAAACCCAGCAACAGTACATTATACAGCGCAATGCAGAATGCCGCCAGCTATTATGTACTATTGCTGGGATTTGTTGTATTCCTCTATAGCTGGCGGTATTCTGCATTGCGCTGTATAATGTGCATTTGCTGGGTTTTGTAGTCCTCTATAGCCGGTGCCATTCTGCATTCATTGCTGTATAAGTTTACACTTTCCATTTCACTATATTGCACACCACACTATTTTTTTTTTTTCTTCTTTTTGACTTCCACCGCTCCAAGCTTGCTCCTGTGATGGACTACAACCTTAATACAAACTAGTAGTCCCATCACTGGAGCCATTTTTGAAACTTTATTTTATAGTTTATCCGATTAACCGATTAATCGAACTTAATAATCGGCTAACTAATCGATTTTGAAAATAATCGTTAGCTGCAGCTCTAGTGCTGACACTGTCCTTCCTTCTGGAGGGGGGCTACGCCTGTTCCCCATGGTCCCTGTGTGTGCTGTAAAGTAGTCACCGCTCCAAGCTCGCTCCCGGTGTGAAGGAATATGGATCATATCAAGAAAATGCCCTTTTCTATGTTTTAAATTGTTTTGAATTTGTTTAATTTGCTTCCTAGCTTTGTGACTTTCCTTACTCAGCTTTTAGCATTGCTATGCGTAACCAAGAGAGATATCCTGTATTCGGGAGCGCGCCGAGGACACATGAAAGGAATGCCGAGGGAGGACGCTACAGGCAGAAGATATCTTTGACTAACCAATTAGCAAGAGACACAAGACTTTAACTAACAGTTCCTCTAGTTTGCCCAATAGTACAAGACATTTAGAGATAGCAGAGGTGGGCATATGTGTGACGAGCACTCTCCTGTTATCTGTGTATAAAGGAGAGAGACCGCCCTGAATAAAGTAGATGCGTCATAAACCTTAATCCTGAGTTTGTGATTTCTCCGGTGCACCGAAAACGACATAATTAGGAACAGCAGCAGACATCTTGTGTGAACCCAGTTGTGGTTCAGATCCATTTCACCGGGATGGACTACATCCCAATACAACTCCATAAACTAAACATGATTGTAGTCCCATCATGAGAATGTGCTTGGAGTGGTGGCTACATTACAACACACACAGGGACCATGGGGGAGAAAGGTAGCCCCCCTCCAGAAGGAAGGACAGTGTCCGCACCAATTCAGAGATTGGAGGATCTACAGCCGAGTGATACACAAATAAGATATATTTTTGGAATGGTTAAGGTTCTTGAATGTATTTTTAAGGTTTAGCTCCGGAGTTTAGTGTCACTTTAAGTTGACCTTTTTGTCTAAATAAAGCTCTATTACACAGCTGATCCTCGGTCTTGCGGTCAGCGTTCGCCTCTCCCCCTCTGCTCCAGCTGCGGAACCTGTCTCGGCAGCCTCAAATCAATGGGCCTGCATAAGATGTGATGACATCAGCGGTCCTTAGACAACTGAAGCCTGGAGAAAAAGTCTAGCAGCCCGGAGGGAGCCGGTGGGACCAAGGGTCAGGTAAGTATACAGTTGTGTGAAAAAGTGTTGGCCCTCTTCCTGATTTTTCATTGTTTTGCACGTTTATCACACTGTTTCAGATCATCAAACAAATGTAAATATTGGTCAAAGATAACACAAGTAAACACAACATGCAGTTTTTAAAGGAAGGTTTTTATTAAGGGAAAACAAAATCCAAACCCACATGTCCCTGTGTGAAAAAGTGTTTGCAGTTCTTGCTGCTAAGGGTGGCCCAACCAGTTATTAGGTCTAGGGTGCAAACACTTTTTTCACACAGGGCCATGTGGGTTTGGATTTTGTTTTCCCTTAATAATAAAAACCTTCCTTTAAAAAAACTACATGTTGTGTTTACTTGTGTTTATCTTTGACTAATATTTACATTTGTTTGATGATCTGAAACAGTGTGATAAACGTGCAAAACAAAGTGTCGGAGTGTCCCGAGCGTTAATCCAATAATGTGGCGTTGTGTTTTTTTTTCCCCTCTCACACAGGACCTAGAAAAAGAGAGCGACACTCCGTTACTTCAAGTTTCCATTGAGGAAATCTTAGAGGAGCAGCGAGTAGAGCAGCAAAGCAAGCAGGAGGCAGAGAAGCTGAAGGTGTTGGCCTTAAAGGAACGGGGTCTGTCTATTCCCCGAGCGGACACCTTGGACGAGTACTAAGCTCCTGTATTGGAGGATGACCTAGGTTTGTGAAATGGTTGAAGTTGCACACAGTGGTGATGCCAAGCCAAAAGCACTTGTATTCAAGAATGACAACGGTGGGGAGGATGCCCCATTAAAGTTATATTCTTTATTTTTTTGTTTTTATTTTTTAATTGACTTGCTTCTGTTTATTAACATGTAATAGACTTTAACTAAATGATTGTGGCTAGTTGTGCTTATTTTATGTTACCAACGAGGAAAGCAGAGAGCGTATGCTGCCTACTGACACCTGCTTTCAGATGTAGGACACCGAGGAGCATTTTTAATGTTCAAGGTAGAAAGATAAAGTGACCATCAGGAGCTCAAAAATACATTCAGGTACGTTCAGGCCCGGATTCCCCACAAGGCCACCGAGGCCCGGCAGGGCGCAGAGGGGCGGCAGCGGTGTCCTTGCGGGGAAGTTGCCCTCTCTACATTCAGTCCTGCTTTGTACAAGCTGAGCTAAATGTAGAGTGAGAGAAGCCGATTGTTCGTTTACATGTGAAATCGTCGATGTCGCCGATTTCACATGTAAACAGTGTGCAGCCTCCTCCCCTCCCCCTGCACTTACCTCTCTCCTTTGGTTCCGTCCTCCACCGCCGAGTCTCTCACTGCAGTGAGCAGAGTGGCAGAGTTAAAAGTAGGGCTGCACAGATACCAAGTACAGTACTCAGTACAAGTACAAGTACATGTACCGATACTTTTGAGCTCCAAGACTAGACTAGAGAAAAATTCAAAAATTAGGAGGCAGCTGTCATGTGTAAGGAGCACACGGAGCTCCCGGGATTTGTACAGCTCTGTTTTAATGTACAATTTTGTTTTTATAAATATAAATAAAGTGATGCACAGGTACCAGTTTTGCGAGTACGAGTACTGGTACTTGCCGAGTACTTACAAGTATGAGTACTGATACATTTTTGTTTATTGTCATGTGACAGTATTTCTAAAACAATACAGACTAATGATTTCAGGACAGTGGTGGAGCGCCAGAGCCAGGTCCCAGCTGTAACCTCTGCAACCCTGGTAGTTCTCATGAAAATGCCAAGTATCTGCACTGGTACTCGAAAAGTATCTGTGCATCCCTAGTTAAAAGTAACCGTGCCGATCCGTGTAGACAGTGAGAGGGTAGAGCTGTGCTGTGCTGCGCTCTTCCTCTCTCACCTGTCACAGGAGTTCCAGCACAGCGCTGTGCTAGAACTCCTGTATTAGAGGTGACAGGGTCAATAAAGAGAACCTGTCGCCTCCAATTGCTATCACACGGGATTGTTTTCTCCTGTGTGATAGCAATAGAGTTAGGTGGAAAAATAATTAAATTTATTTTTTTTTTTAAAATAAATAGGTGATTAAAAAGTAAAAAATAATTATAAAAAATAAACAAGATTTAAAAAATTATAAAAAAAAGTAAATATGATAAATAAAAATCTAAAAAAAACACATTGATTAAAAAAATAAAACCTTTTAAAAAAAATAAACAGTAAAAAAAAATTGACACTAACCCCGCCGCCCTGCCATCTGGTTGCCATTCTCCATTGACGGGAGGGGGGCCGGGGCGCATGTCAGAACCTGGTCTTGGGGTGGCAGTGAGAGTAAATCCGGCCCTGGGTACGTTAACTAACAACACGGGAATTTATCAAAACTGGAGCAGACGGAAACTAGAGCAGTTGCCCAGGGCAACCAATCGACATCTCAAGTTTGCTCAGTGCGGATTTGAAAATGAGAGATGGAAGCTGATTGGCTGCAATGAAAATCTCCAGATTTTGTCTACTCCAGTGTTGATAAATTCACCCCAATGAATCTTATTTGTGTATCACTCGGCTGCAGATCCTCCAATCATCTCTGAATTGGTGCCGACACTGTCCTTCCTTCTGGAGGGGGGCTACTTTTATTCCCCATGGTCCCTGTGTGTGTTCTAAAGTAGTCACCGCTCCAAGCTTACTCCCGGGATGGACTACAATCTCAATACAAATCTGTAAACTAAACGTGAGATTGTAGTCCGTCCCAGGAGCGAGCTTGGAGCGGTGACTACTTTACAACACACAGGGACCAGGGGGGAGCAAAGTAGCCCCCCTCAGAAGGAAGGACGGTGTCAGTACCAATTCGGAGATGATTGCAGGATCTACAGCCGAGTGATACACAAATAAGAGACATTGTTGTTCATAGTTAAGGTTCCTGAATGTATTTTTAAGATTTAACTCCGGAGTTTTTAGTGTCACTTTAATCAGGCATTGAACTGCAATGAGTGCACTGTGCTACCTCCCTCTCATGCTGCAGGTTGTGCATGTAGAGTGCAAAGTGCCTGAACCCTAAAATGTCAAAGGCTCAGATGCAGAGCTCTTACAAGGGGCTTCCAACAGCTATAGTGGTTTAGCTAATGAGGCAACCAGAAATGCAAGGACAGGAATAGAATTCAGCAAACAAGCTGTGTCCACAGAGTTTAAATGCAGATATTTCACGTCTCCTGAGAGGTTAATAGGATAGCGCAGAAGAAAATCCATTAAACTAGCTTTCCTATAACCTTAAGAGGATTTGCACATTCAAGGCAAAATAACAGATTCTCTTGATAGCGAACCTCCATTTATTGATACTTACCTTTTATTTTACTCATTGGCCTCCGGTGGTGTTGAGTCTAAACCTGTGTAAGCTCCATGTTGATCTGTGTTTTGAGCTTACAGAGTTGATTGCCTTCTCTCTTCACCCAGAGAACAGTCCTCTGTCCTGGCATTTGGTTGTGCTGTCCTTAGCATTGCATCCCAGAAGGAAGGATAGGTCACATGCTCCTCCAAGCCTGGCATTACCAGTTATTTCTGAGGGCTCCAGAAGAGGAAGTGATGAGGGGGGGGTAGGTAGGTATCATTGGGTGTGTATAGTTGCATACCCTACCAACTGTCACCGGTTGGGTATATCGGCATGCCCTACCACCTCCCCCAACTGTCACCGCTTGGATATATTTGCATGCCCTACCACCTCCCCAACTGTCACCGCTTGGATATATTTGCATGCCCTACCACCTCCCCAACTGTCACCGCTCGGATATATTTGCATGCCCTACCAACTCCCCAACCGTCACCGCCTGGATATATTTGCATGCAGCCCTACCACCTCCCCAACTGTCACTGGTCGGGTATATTTCCATGCCCTACCACCTCCCCAACTGTCACTGGTCGGGTATATTTCCATGCCCTATCGCCTCCCCAACTGTCACTTCGTGGATTCCTAGAAACCAATGATGCTGATAGTAGGCAGAGCCTGATAGGGAGGCTGAGGCACTAGTTCCCCATCAGGTCTGCTCTGCTTGTGATGGGCAGTGTGTGGACTCCATAGACAATAGCAGGCTGTCTATTTGCTATGGAATCGGCCTATTGTTAATCACCAAAGGATTGGAAGTAGTCTCTTGGCCCCTCCCACACTCTAGTAATGCTGTGGGAGAGGTGCAGCGGCTGTGGAAGATGTTGACCTGTGCTGAGGATGGGGGTGCTTACACCAAATGTTTCCAACAGGGACAGGAATCTGGACCAAACACTATTTGTCATGCAGATACACCATGGGAATCTAAAGGGTGTTGGAGGCGCTCTTTAGAAGTTTGGGGAGTGCACGGATGTAACAGCGTAAAAGCCACTTGTGCAAAGAATTTGAAAAAACACTTAAACAAAAAGAATCTGCTTGCTGTAAAATATTTGTGCTTACCGTGGAATTGCAACAACCACAAGGAGAGAGGGCAGCAGTGATCGGTCTTTATTACAGGAGGGGCCGGAGACAAGACCAGTCATCCTGCACAAGGAGAGAGCGCAGCCATCTAGGGCCATCTAGGTTCGCATCAAGCCCCTGATCATCATTACTGACCAGGGGTTGTACTGGAGGGTGCACGACCAAGTGTGTACTCCCAGCATAGAACAGGGGCACTGAGCAAATATACGTGGTGGCACGGCATTGAAGCCATCACCATGCTGCCACATATATGCCTGGCAGGAATGGGTTAAAGAATGGAGTTAATAAGGAGGCCTGGACAGATTATAGGAAAGAGCCTGGTGTTGTCCACCAAAAATGCAACCATCCATGTGGTGGGGGTCACCCATAGGACTGTGCTTAATTACTCATTGCCTTTATGGGGGTTTCAGGGTAGTACTCACAACCCATTAGATTCCGTGTAGGACCAGCAGTTGGACCTTTACACAAATTCTGATCTTGAAAGCTATTTTTTACGGTTTGGCTGGGGTGGATAATTACAAATGGAAGGGCTAAGCCATGGATTGATAGCCTAGGGCCTAGGCATTGGGTGAGTGATGTGATCTCTGCTGAACAGGGGAACTTTGGCTTATCAGAACTCTGATCCTTGCCTTCAGCAGAGGTCACCTGACCACATTCTTCTGAATGATCTAGAAGTTTGTGTTTATAGACTGACATTCCGAAACATTTCTAAAGGTGACTTTGTTGTCATTTGTGAGATCCGGGTGAAGTTCCTCTTTTACACCAAGGTGAGTGCTTGCCCATGGTGACACCTGCTCCTGTGACAACTTTCTAAGTTGGGGATCCCTTTTAATTTTGGGGAGATTTGCTCTCATTTCTTGTTGCAGTGCAAATCTCCCCGGAAGGATGCAGGCATTAAACAACCCAATGGAGGCCTTCAATCTTCCCCCATGGGGTTAGGGTAGGGTTAGGGTTATGCTATCAAAATCTTGGCTTGACATTTGGTTTCACATGCGCTTTAACTTTCCCCTCCTTGAAAACAATGAACGAAACATGGAAAAAAAAAGTCAACAACATTTCTTCACAGAGTTTTGTCTCCTCATACGAGAGACGCATTTAGAAAGGTATGTGTACTCGCTCTTCACAAATTGACAGTATCTCGGCGGCTATCAAATAACCGTCATTGTTTGTGGCGTCAGCAGGACCAGTTTTACTATGTTTGAGTTCTATTTATAGCCGCTCTGCGGGGATTGCTGTGTGCAGCTTCCATCTGATTTCAGGAAAGAATGCTGCGCCATAGTAAGGACCGGCCGGGC